ATGATTATACCAGAATAATGATTATAAATATTGAAATATCAAACATATAAAATAAAAGTATACAAATGTAACTGATTAGTTAATAATGTATTTGTGTTTGAATGATGCATATTATTGATGAAGCTAGTCTCCCTTGTAATTAGTTATAGAGTAAATGAAAAGGAAAGATTCGTGATAGTTCATACATAAAGGGGAGAAATGGAGGGAGATGAATTTGTATTTATCAAGTACAGAATTCATAAGCAATTGAAAATTTGATCACTCAGGATCATAATTCCAGAAAACTGTTGTGTATTGTTGACGCAGCAAGTCATATACTTATAATTAGTCATAGAGTTGAGAAGAAAAGAAAAAGCATGCTGCCAGGGGGGGTGTGGATGATTTGGAATTCATCATTATTTACAAATTCATCAAGGAAGCAGCTAAAACAAAAGGTGTCTATGTAGAAGATAAGTACTTTATGAAAAGTAAAACATATGAAGCTAACATATGTGCTGTTAGCATTGTATAGATAGGTGAAGTTATATTCTACAAAAATATACAAAATTCGTTAGTATTAGAAAGATTATTTAATGATAATATTATAATATGATATATCTTATAGATATAGGTAACCTATGATTAGTGGATGCATACTGTGACAGTGGGACTAGATATTGTGATAATATATCTTGTGAGTATATTGATGTAGTCAAAGAGTAATGCAAATTTAAGCGCATCAAGAATCTCACTGTGTTCCACCACTGTTTGCATAGATGTAAAACATCACCCGTAAAGTTTCATATATCTTTTACTTCTAGTTTTTATGTTATGAGTATTTGACATGTACAATGAAGTATTTCTTTGTGTTTTTTAGTGATTTGCTTCCAAGGTTTATAACTGGGAAATATAGTCTGTCTATAGATTTCATTTGGTGTGCTGGCATTCTTCTTTTCTTTCTTTTGATCAGGGTACTTTTTTGTCCCCCATAAATTGTGCAACCTTAACATGCTCCAGATGTATTGAATTCTTTGAAGCCCAATTTTTCTGGTGCTAATGATCTCTTTAAGGATATATTTGGCTTATCTCATGCCAACTTTGATGCTCTGTCACAGCCATGTTCACACTATAGTAACTGTTGTTTCAGTAACTATACTTGCCTGTAAGCTGATTTATAGCTTCAATAAAATCTTTATTGCTTATGAACATTTGTTGACCTTGTTAATGCATTCTGTCATAACAAGTGCACTTTCCTTTACTTTTCTGTTTTATTTTTTCTTTTTCTTCGCTAGTGTATAATTTTGATTTTTTTTTTTTTTTTTTTTTTTTTTTTTTTTTGTGGGGTGGGTGGGTATGGATTCAAAATATGCATTAGGACTCACAAAAGTACATATCTCATTTAGCCTTGTGGATCATGTTTGACTCAGTTTTCATGGGGATGAAATTGCAGAACAATTTAAATCCTTAAGCTGTTATCTGCTAGCATTTCTTTTTTGGTTTTTTGTAATTGATATTTTTTGGTTTTCCAGGTATCACTCAATTATTAAGTTGCTTAAAAATCTCATACGCAAGGCTCACAATTGCCAACATTTGAGGTTATTGGAAAAGCATTGTGCCATTCTTCCGTCCTTGGATCAAAAAACAGAATATAGTTCTGTATTAGAGGTTCGTATTCCTTGGAAAAAGATTATACGTTCCATTTCACCAACTATTTTCTGCTGTATGAAGTTCACGTTATAGCTACAGGATAAAACATGGATATTCTTTCTTCACACTTTTTATCTGTGAGTTATAGTGACTGTATGGTTCCTCATTAAAAGCCAAGCATTGTTTATGTCTGGGCTGTCTGATTACTATTGAGTCTACATAAAACAGTCTTGTTTTTGGTAATGGATGGTTTAGAAATCTTGTAACCTGATATGTGGTGGGGAAATTCATCTTGTTTGCCAAAGTTTTTCCCCGTTTATAGTTATTTATTATTTTATTATTTTTTTTGAATTTTAATATATATACCATATAGTAAACATCTTGGGTATGGATTTCAACTTCACTCAATGGAAAACTAGTTGGACAAGATTTTTTATTTATTTTTTTTATTTTAACATCATGAAGAAACAAATTAAAGATCTTTAAGGATCTAGTCATATGATGCTGCCATAAGTTTCTTGTGGATGCTCATCTAAAGGGGTAGACTTAGGTTTTACCAAGAAAGCATGGGCATTGATCAACCTCCAGAGGTTGCAACACTGTGATGTTCTTTCCTTCTTGTGAAGAAGGAGCCCTATCAGCACTATGGAATTCGTGAGAAGGAAGTTGAAATTGCTTCTAGGATTAAGGATTCAACAATGTGCCATAATGTGTTTCTAATTGACCTCTATATCTGTCTACCCCTCTCTCTCTTACTCTTTATAATATTTGACTTTACTGTACTCATATTTCTTAGGGTTTGATCGTGATACCACTTTAGTCCTTTCATTTTTATTTTTTGTGATTTAAGGCAGATTCTTTCAAAATTCTTCCCTACGATCCTTCCTAACATTTGCACCAAGCCGGGAAATGTATGAAGCTCTTTTTTTTAAAAGGCATTTCATGAAATCACCCCATTACCCATCCTTCACCTAGGTGTGGCTTACTGCTCATGCTTATTAAGAGATGCAGACCCATAGTGTTCACTTGATATATATGTCATTTAAGATCTTCTTAGCTTGATGCACATTATAATTTTGGAAGCATGCGATTCAGATTGTTGAAATTGTAGGAGGATTAAATTGAAATACAAAAAAAACAAAGAAGGCCTGCTGACCTCACTAAGTCAAAGCTTTATAGACGCAAATCTATCTAGTACCATTTGGAAGTGGACACCAAGCAAGAATGAGCTTTGTCAAATGAGAAAAAAGCATAATTCTTTTTGAGTCTCCTAAATAAGATACCAGGAAAGATGAATATAACCCCTTGGAAAACATTATTGGTTTCTCGGATTTCAATTATAGGTTGGGATGTATACTAATGGTATATGAGATTGTTGAAGACATGTACATATGAGCCAATACTTTAGTGAGAACTAGTATAGGGGAAATTGGTAACCTTAAATCATTTTAAGTTTTCATCCCGACTAACACTAAGCCCCTATTGTTAATAAAGGATGAAAATAAGGGAAAATGTAGTATACTATGAAAGGACAATAAAGACCAATGAGTGAGCAGTTACAATACTAAGATTCAATTGTATATATGGAGGGAGAGATTGGAACGGATGTATCTCAAAGAATTATGGCAGGATGGATGTTGTGAGAAATGTTCTAAGAGATTTATGCGATCAACGTGTAACTGTGACATCACTACTTTTAGAAACATTTACAACACCATCTCTATTTTATGGTTCAGTGTCTTGGACACTTAAGAAGTCCAGTTAACAAAATGAGCATAGCAGAAATGAGGATATTAAGATGGACAATGGAGAAAGTTGAATGACCAAATTTGCTGGATGATAAATGCTGCACCTGTTGAGGATACATGATAGAAATAGGTTAAGATGGTTTGGAAATTTGCAATGAAGATCTGCAAGCAGTCTAGTTAAGAATAGTGACACTATCTACTATGGCTTCTTGATACTGGAAGCTGTGGACAACCAATGAGGGATGGTCATTATAAAGTTTACAAGTTGTTTTCAGATGTTATTGAAGACAAAGAGGGAAGATTTCGTGAGACTCTACTTGGCAAATGGGTCGATTATTCTGGGTGATCTGTCATTGTCCGGGTCCTTCACTTTTCATTGCATCGATGTGGATTGCCCTATGAAATAGCAATAGAGCTTTTCCAAACATTTGTAATTCTTGGTCTGTATGAGGTGGAAATCTCCTGTACGGTTCTATAATAGAGATGGTACAACTGATGTTATCGCCGACTATGATTGTCTAACAGTTCAAGTATAGTTGATATAGTTGTAGGACAATCAAAATATGGTGTTTGGGGATGGAATTTATGGTGTCAACCTATAGGGTTTATCATTTTTCTAATTTCTTCCCTAGCAAAGTGTGGGAGATTACCTTTTTACCAGAAGCAGAAGAAGAATTAGTAGCCGGTTATCAAACTGAATATTCAGATATCAAATTTGGGATATTTTACATTGCTTCGTATTTAAATTTACTAGTTTCTTCATTATTTGTAACAGTTCTTTACTTGGACGATTGGAATCTTTCTATTCCGTACATATTTGTTCCTGATCTTTTTGAAATAAATAAAACAGGAGAAATCTTGGGAACAATAATTGGTATCTTTATTACATTAACTAAAACTTATTTGTTCTTGTTCATTTCTATCAGAAAAAGATGGACTTCACCAAGGCTGAGAATGGACCAATTATTAAATCTTGGATGGAAATTTCTTTTACCCATTTCTTTAGGCAATTTATTATTAACAGCCTCTTCCCAACTTCTTTTTCCATTAAAAAAAAACGATATTTTGTATTCATGAGTTGTCTCAAACATCACATCAAACAAGAGAAAGAAACAAATAGAAAATTTTTTAGAGATATTTATGATATGTTCCCTATAGTAACAAGATTATGAATTATGGTCAACAAACAGGACAGGCTGCAAGGTACTAAATAGTTACAGGTAAATGATTTGCATGGAATAAGGTAATTGTAAAACTTCGACAAAAAATAAGTTGGATTGAAATAGTAAATAAAGATCTAAGCTAGTATAGCTTATCTGAAGGTATGAAATCTGACAACAGAATGGAGACATAGATATCATGTATTTAGCACCATCTAGTTGGGAAAGTATTTAGTTGTTTGAGTGTTCTTGTTTCTTGAGATTGGATTACGTGACCTCTTGTTGCTTGACAACATAGCCTTTTGCGGTCACTTAGCTCCTCAAAGAAGAAAATTGGCACTATGAGATGATTAGAAGCACATTTAACAGAGACAAGTTTTTTATTCCTAAGCATCTGCATACAGTTTATGCTGCAAATCTAATCCTTTGGACTTTGTTCTGGAGGTTGCTCAATTTGATTCTTATGATGATTCTGGTATGTATGACACAATAATGGTGACCTTTTGATATTGCTTTTGTATTATTTTTTTGATAAAAGCATTGGTGGTATTCTATTCTGGAGGGTTTACTAGGATTCTATTTTACCTAATGCAGAGTCAGGTGCTCAGGTAGCATAGACAACACCATGATAGCCAATCTATCGTTTTTCCTTTTCACATCCCATGGCAATGGTGGCTTCCACAAGAGTGTGGCCTGTAAAGTTATAGTTTTAATTGCGCCCTCCCTTTAGATTCTTGAATTTGTTTTCTTTTAAAGATGTTTTTCTTTCCCCTTTTGAGTTTTTTTTTTTTTTCATCGTGATTGTTCATTTTTGTTTGAAAATCAATCACTTATAATTTTTCGAACTTCAGTATTTAATGAGAGAAATCTTTTGGATGTAGTATTCACTTATAATCAAATGGCACTTGTTCATTTATTTTCCTTAATAGAAATGCCACAACAATGCCATTTAAAAGTGAAAAATTTTATTTTGTTTTGAATTAGAAAATAGTAATTAGGTCTAATTTTACTCTCAGGCCAATAAGTCACTGACAGATTCACTCCAGAAGGGGCATGATATGATTTGTCAGGATGGCAAGTTGCTGGCTTGTAAATGCAGTAGTTTAGATATTAACATCTCGGAGAAAGATCTGGAAACCAATTGTATTCTGTTTGAGCCCAGTCAGGCTTATTGCTTAAAAAAGCATGTTGTATCATTTATATGGGCTATTTGCAGAAGCATAGTTCCTCCAGATCTGCTTGGAACCCATTCTAATTGGAGAACTTTAAGAAGGAATATTTCCAGGTTTGTTGGTCTACGAAGATTTGAGAAATACTCTTTAAGGCAGTGTTTGCATAAGTTGAAAACATCAATGTTCACTGTATTATCAAATAGACATGCTTTAAGGAACTTGAATGAAACAAAAGTACAGAGTACAGACAAAGTTACAATGTTCACTGTAAACTCTGCCATTCATACTGTGAATCACAAAATTGTGCACTACTGGATATTTTGGTTTTTTTCACATTTAGTGGTGCCCTTGGTGCAAGCAAATTTCTATGTGACAGAAAGTGAGCATGGGAAACAAGATTTATTTTATTACCGAAAATCAATATGGGAGATGGTAATGAACAAGGCTATTAGAACCTGGAAGATCAGAATTATCATTCATTAACTGCTGCCTCAGTTAGAAATATTGCAAACAAAAGGTCATTTGGTTTCTCAAAGGTTAGACTTCTTCCTAAAGAAAATGGTGTAAGGGTGCTAGCGAATCTTAAAGCATCCTCAAGGATACCCGTGACAGAATCCTCTTTGAAAGTCAAGCCTTATCAGTCACTGGGAAAAGTATATCTGGACCAAAAACATGTCAAATATGACTACTTCAAGTCTGTGAACAGTGTCCTTCGTGATTTGCATGCTGTCCTGAGAGGTTTGCAGATGAAAGAACCAGATAAGTTAGGGTCATCCGTATTTGATTATAACGATGTCTACAGAAAGCTATGCCCTTTCTTGTCAGCTTTGAAGAATGGATCAGTCAATATGCCTGATATATTCATTGTTGTATCTGATGTATCTAAAGCATTTGATTCTATTAATCAGGATAAGTTACTCAATGTAGTGAAGGATGTTACACAGAATGATGAATACCTTGTAAAGAAGTCTCATCAAGTTGTTTGTGCAAAGAATTCTTTGTGGGTTCATCAGAACCTAATTCTTGCAAATGAAGATGATGGTATTGGATCTAATATATGCACATCTTCTAACCGTTCATTGCACGGTATCCTTGTCAATCAGGTATTTAATTTGAAATACTTTTGAGAGGCAATGTTTTTATTTAGCCTTTTCCTGGTTTGTGGGTTTCTCCTCTCTTATTTTATTTTACAGATAATGATGAGCCAATATCTTGCCATTGTTTGTAATTTGTTTATATGGATGTATGAAGAATCATTACTTAGGGACAAGATAAACTTATGCTTTGAAATAATAACTTGATGTCTCTCACCTTCTCTTGTCTTTTTAGTCCAACAGTGCAGTGAATTGCACTCATCATGCTTGACAAGCAAGTTAAGTATTAACTTAATTTTATGTTAAGAGTTATTTAGACATATTTTCTTCTCACAAATCATCAAATAAAATTCCAATACAGGTATGAAGATGATGTGTATTATGCAATTCTTTTTTGGTTTATGTTGATAATGCAATGTTATGCAAGTTGTACTCCTTAATTTAAACATTCTCTTTTGAAGTCCCATAAACTCAATTACACCTAGGAAACAGGAAGACCTCATAGTTGAGGCAATACCGATCCCTGCCAAGAATCTGCTTAGACCTTAGGAGATGCTGGCACATCCTTGAATGTTGAATCTGGGGCTGAGCCCTTTTGCCAAATTTTGTCCCTACAATGTGCCAAAATCAGACTAGTATTCACTACTTGATAATGTGTATTTTTTTTTTTAATGGAAAAGCTGAAATTAACTTACAGTAACATCTTAATTGTGATAATAAAATGTTACAGATTCATTTAAGGAGCTATAAACAAGAATAGGTGCATTAAAGAGCCTGGCGTATAAAAGGAGTGGGGCAGAATGAAATCCTTCAAGGTTGACCATGTTGCGAAACTTGTCATTAACTAAATGCATATAAACAAGAATAGATGGAGTAGAAGTGTATGGCATTTAAATTCCTTCAACGTTGACCATGTTGCAAAACTAGTCATTTACTAACAGGGGTATACTTGGCATTTTCATGAATAATACCTTTTGACAAGCCTTGTTTGTCTTTTAATGTGCTGCTCCTCATGTTTCAGGGTTGGAGCAGAAATATAAGGAAGGAGGAACTTTTCTTCTATCTAAATGAGCATTTGAAACACAATGTGCTGCAGCTGGATAAAAACTTTTACTTGCAAAATGTTGGTATACCCCAAGGAAGTGTTTTGTCATCTCTGCTTTGCTCATTTTACTATGGGCATTTAGAAACAAATGTTATATTTCCATTTCTGCGGAAGAGTGAAGAATCTGGCACCGAAGTCGTATCAGGGAGAAGTAGTGGTTATAATGCTTCTTCAGTGAGTAAGGCCGAAGATATACCATCACCCTCTAAATGCTTGCTACTTAGGCTTATTGATGACTTCATTTTCATATCAACCTCCAAGAAGCAGGCTGCTAGTTTCTTCTCAAGGCTGCAAAGAGGATTCCAAGAATATAATTGCTACATGAATAAGGGAAAATTTGGTCTAAATTTTGATGTTGACCAGATATCAGGATGTGAATCAAACAGAATGTACATAGGGGAAGATGGTATCTCATTTATTCGCTGGAGTGGGTTGTTTATCAACTGCTGCACTTTAGAAGTTCAGGCTGACTACACCAGGTACTCCTTTCATTTTTTTGACCAATGATGTGCTTGGCCAGCAGTTAGATGTAATTTATGGGTTATATACATACTAGTTTAGATGGTTGGTTAGTTTTAGTTTTTCTTATTGATCTCTATAACATCAGATCCATTTAGATTGTTCTCGGTTTGCTCAGATGTCAGGTTCTTTGTGAATTGGACTAGGCTCTCTCCCTCTGTTTGTGCGTGTGCGTGTGTTTTGGGAAATTTGGGTAAAGATGATGCAAACTCTCTACGGTAGGGTGATAAGTCTAGAACCTTGTCATATGCATTGGGGAGGATAAATCCTTTCAACTAGGATTATATGGCTTATTTGTCTCCTATCAGATCAAACTGAATCAATTATGTGCTATACAACTCCAAGAAAAAAGTTGCTTGTATTATGAGATTTGGGTAGATTATGCAGTTGATCAGGATTTCAAATTACACATATGTTAATTTGATTGCAACACATTTAAAGGATCCAAAGGTGACTAATGTTTTCCTTTCATATTGCTTTATAGTTATAGAATTTAGACTATGTATATGAGTACTGAGAAATCATATCATCCGGGATCCCAAATATCTTTACTCAAATGTGATTATGATATAATTTTGTTTGGTAGAATGTTGGCTGCGATGGTTTTTTCCTCAAGATGTTATAAGAGAATTCTTTTCTTTTCTTCCTTGATCAGTGAAGATCTATTTGACACTTGAGTGCATAAGCACCAGTTGGCTTTTCCTTTCCAGAAAGAGAAGATCTGCAAGCCATTAAATTCAATTGAAAACATTATTCACAGTTCAAGTTTATTACATTTATTTCTGCTTGTCTTAACTTCTGATCAGGTATCTGAAGACACACGTAAGTTCTAGTCTTACTGTCTACTGGCAAGGTAAACCAGGTCAACATTTGAAGACAAGGTTATGCAATTATCTGCGACCTAAATGCCATCCCATCTTCTATGATTCAAATATCAATTCAGCGGCTGTTGTCAGACTCAATATATACCAGGCTTTTCTGCTGTGTGCAATGAAGTTCCACTGCTATGTCCGAGACTTGTCTAATATCCACCAACTTGACATCAAATGGTACATAGTCAGTATTGAAAGATCCATAAGGTATGTACTTCTCCACTCCTACATTGTCTTATTGTGCTTGGAGTCATCAAATTGAATAGTAATATTAAATGCTACTTTAGTGACATCTTTTGTCTCTCCTCTCTTTCTAAATGATGTTAAATGAGCTCATGTGCTCTATCCAATAGGACATCCTGTATATATTTCTATATCCTTAATTGAGATCTGGTTCAAAGTAGGGGTAACCCTTGCTATGCAGTAATTGCAGCGTTTAAAATGAATTTAGTAATTATTTTAAAGATTCGTTGGTAAATGTATATGCTAAGTTAGTCATAACCAGCTAGTGCAAGTATTTAATAAACTAACCCTATTTGTAAAGTTTCAGACATGGAGGATCCGATTAGAACAGAGAGGCCATTGTATGCAGATGATTCATATTTTTATAATTTATTTGGATTCAGATCTAACACCCTACTCTATACATTCTCTTTTGTTTCCACTTTTCTGTCTTTCATTTCTCATTATTCAATAGATGTTACAAATTATTTGTTTTGTTATTTATCCCTCCAAAACCAGATACTAAAAACAAAATAAAAGCAAAATTCAAAACCACTGAACACAGAAAGGTGAAAGCACATTAATACCAATGAAAATTTTGTGAGATATAATAATTGCATCTATAGTCATTGCCAACCATATAAAAAAACGACCTACACAAATTTAAACAATATATAGTTGGTAAAGAGACCAGACTAAACCAACAATTTTGAGCTTAGCTGATAGTAAGAACAGTTTTGAGTTTCAAAAACTTGTTTCTATAACATAATATAAATTTATGTGGACAAAAATGTATTTTAAATTTGTTATATAGTTATAAAAGTAACCTGATTTTGGAGAAGAATTTGAAATACATATGCTAATTGCAACATGTTCTTTCAAGGAAAATTTCTCAATTTTTAATTAGAACTTTCTTCTGAAAGACTAACCTAAAGGTCAAAGGTTGCAAGTCATGGAAATTATAACAATACCAGTGATGTGGCTGCAGCCGCAGCACAAGGGGATAGATGGGCTGATTGGCCAGCTTCCTATGTTGCATAAATAAACAATCAGATTTACTTCTCAAGACTTGGCCTAAATCTGCTCTTGCACAGACATTTACATACAATTTGTCATTCTGTTTTCTTTATTCCTAGGTATATGTACAAGCTCATAAAGAAAAGGATGCATTTTGTGGAGTTTGATTCAACTTTCCGTCCAATATTTCAAGTGGAAAGGGGAGAATTTGAATGGCTAGGACTTGTTGCATACACCAGAATACTGAAGAGGAAGCAATCACGGCATAAGAAATTGTTGTCCTTGTTGAAGGCTAAGCTGATAGCACATGAAGCAAAAACCACTTCATCTGCCATGAAGTATGCAGTAGATGATTCACATTCGTCTGTGTTCTGGAAAATCAGATATTAGGTCCATGAGCTATTCAATGATTGCTTTCATATGTTTGATTTTGGAAACAAAAACTTGTGTTTTATTACCCAGTCAAATTTTGTATTTTTTGCCTGTGCTTTGTCCGGGCACATTTCTTTTTTATGTTAATGTCTTGGGAGAATGATATTATAAAGTTATTTTATCTTTTTTAACATTGTGCTTTTGACATAAGCTCAACATTTTAGGGGTTGTTTGCAATAGCTAGTAGGAAGTGATTTTCTGGTTTTCAAGGTGTGAAAGTGATTTGGAGGTGTTTGCTATAATGCTTTTGGCTCCAACTTCTCTAAAAATAAGTTATAGACAGTGGAAAATCAAGAGTGAGGGGAGGGGGTGCTTGAGCTTCTGATTTTATGGAAGCATTTGCAAACACCCCTTAAATACTGTTAAATTGACTTCTTCCCTAGAAAATTATCTAATTTCTTGTACAATTATAATCCAATTATTCCAATTAAATTTGACCTATTTTACTTGTTTGTTAGGTTGGATGGGATAAGATTAGATAATAATTATGAAGCATTTTGAATAAATAATGTTTTAGATTATTATACTTCACTTATTATGTTTTGGATAAAAGACCTGATAAACATGTAAGTTACTAAAATGGACAATGGTTGGCAGCCATTGGTGGCGATCGGTGGTTGGCGATGGTTAGCAATGATCACGAGTCACACCCCCACCTCTTTAACTCAAGCAAGGCACAACAGCGGAATAGGGTTTAACAACTTCTTGTGTTCAGAATTTACAGGAAAAGGTCAAAACTTGCTCTTCTACTTTGTCTGCTAAGTCAAATGACTAACTTACTGTCACGATCCAACCCGGGATCCGTGATCGGCACTAGAGTCCACGACCCTAGTTAGCTTAACAAGATGAAACTATACCCAAAGATCAATTAATTCATATTTATATACATCATGCAGTCCAAAATACAAATAAGATCTTATCTGAGAGATATAGGGAGTACTAGAGTACAAAAATAGATAAATAAAAGGACATGCCTATACATCGATCGACTTGCAAAGCACAGATTTGAAACACTGTTATCTGGTACACGAACGGTCAACTCAATCTGAAAAGATAATAAGGTGTGAGTTGCGAAACCCAGTGAGTAAGGATGATACTTAAATTATGCATGGTGGGATATGTATCACATAATCAGACCAAAACATACACATATATACATATATAGTGAGCGGTATAATTATCCAAATAATATGTAGGAGCACAACAAATCCTGCCACGAGACCCCAGCCTTGTGGCTCTCACGATCGGAAGTATCCTCCATCTCGGGATCAGAGATATCACAAACATATTAGATGGCCATCTCTCGATCGGAGGAATCCTCCGTCTCATGATCGAGCTCAACTCAATCACATGCCATGCTTCCGGTTGGAGGCATCCTCCATCTCACGACCGGAGCAACCCAGCTTTATCACATAGCATGCATCGCCACATGGCAAGTCAAACGAGTATATATATATGCATACATAGTCATGTCACGAAAATCGATAACAATATACTGCCATAGCTCACTGTCAATTTATAGAACATATAACGCATATCCTAAAATAGTATAAGCCAAAATACAGTAAGAGTTAATAAATCCATCATGCCAGGAAAAACATAGTGTAAAATGCATACATAGAGAGGGTATCATCACTCACAGAATAAGCCAAGTCAAAAAGGAAAGTCCCGAGCCACCTCACCTTACTAAATGATCCGAGTGTGCCTCAGCCGGTGACTCTGCAATCAAATCACACAAACCATCACTATCGACAAAATCAATATAAGAAATGAGCTCGGTAGCCTCAAACCAGCTCAAATCCCAAATCGGCCCCCTGGTACGCATCTCGAGGCACCTTGTCATGTCACCGGGACCTATGCGATTCACTGACACACAACCATTCAGTTCAACAACCCTCAACAATACTAAAGCAGCCTCCACAAACTCAAGTCCTAGCGAATTGGCCGCCAAAACCCCCGAACCGGTCTAACTCGGCTTAGAACTACTTCAAACTTAACCAAATCGAAACAAAACCCTAAAAAATGGATCAAGAAGGCCAAAAACCTTTGAAACCGGCTGGAAAGGACTCAAACTGGCCCTGAACCGGCTAAGAACTCAAATCCCTAATCACTAGCACACAAACCGAGCCCGTTCACCTTGAATCGGACCCCTAAAGATCACTAAACTACACGATTATCTAGGTCTCGATGTGTTGAACCAAGAACTGGTTCAAACTCCCCAAGAACTGGCCTAAACATTGGTGAACCAGTTGCCCAAAAGATCACACACTAAACTGGCCGGTTCACCTTGAATCGACCACCCAAAATTCTCCGAACCCATCTGGTCTAATAGCCCTCAATTAAACGAATCAGGAACCGGTTTATTTGCTCAGAAAACCAGCCAAAACAGCTTGAACCGACTGGTCAAACATCCGGTGAACTCTGGCTAGTTCACCATCCCAAAACCCTAATTCCATTATTAAATTAATAAATCCTGAAATATCTAATTCTTGCTATTCCAGACAGCCCTTATCCTTGGTTTCATTATCCCCCAGAATAGCATACTCCCATTCCATTGAGTCAACCCGGATGGGTAGACTCACTCCAACGAACACAGGGCCGAGTTGACTCTCCGAGTCAACTCGGCCTAACTCGTGGGCCTAGCCGGCCTGGGCCAGCCTGTGGCCTTTCTCCCAACCAGGTCGGCCTTGGCCCAACCTGGGCCGGCCCAGCCGAGACGGGACCCAGACTCTTCTGGGTCCTATCTTCTTCACCCAAAAACCCGGGTCTTTAGACCCAGTTGCTTGCTGGCCAAACCGACTAGAAAACTGAACCAAAAACTTAGGAAAGATGGTGTACCTCGACGATCGGCCACCCAAAACCACAGCACTAGCCTTAGCGAGCCTCGTAGCACCAATTAATCAAAGAAAAGCAGGCCAAAGCTCCCAAAAAGCTCGAAGAAACCTGTCAGACTACTGACTGCTTCAACCCAAATTCCTCCCTCTTTCACGTGATTGAAGGAAAATAGTTGAGGACTTATGCTCGCTTGACTAAATAGGCCTAAACGGTGTGAAAAATCCAAAGCAAAAGGCTGAAATTTTTCGGTGCATGCTAATCGCACAGGTTGGCGGCCGACCACAGATTTTATTATTATTATTATTATTATTATTATTGGGTCATAACACTCACGTTCATAAAAACTGACTAACATAATGTAATATAAACAACTGATTCATTTAATATAACTGAGAAACTTAATCAGTTTTTTTCACATAGTTACTATCTCTAAAATAAGTACATAATCTCATAAATGCATGACATTTATCTAATTTTACTCTTCATGGCTCCATAACCCAAGTGACTACAACATATCTTGACTTAAGCTCAATTTCCTTAGACTGGATATTGATGCAGTAGTTACGGCTTGCTATAGTTGAGACTTGGAAAAAACAAGTGAGGGGTGAGACTAACGTCCTAGTAAATGGTTTTCTAACTAAAGTCAGAGAAATATGAACATTTTTATATATTAATATATGTAAAAGCAATTTATAACATAAAAAGGAACTTTTAGAAAACTTGTTTCGTATAAACATTTCATAATTCATCATAACATAAAATCATTTGTTCGTAAATTTAAAATGTTACTAATTCACTTGATGAGCTTGCAGATCTAGTCATAGTCAAAAAGTAATAAAAAAGGATTAAGCACGAAAGCAAAAATGTGATGGTTCCATAACATAAACGTGTGTTCTAACGTGCACGTAGATAGAATATAACATGGGTATATCATAACATAGGAAGAATTTGTTGGGTGTTATTGGCTATGAAATCCACTTCACAGTGCACCTCCTCCATGGATAAATTAATGTAACTTTTAGTATCGTGTGACTCCATTGAGCAAGTATCATTTAGTAGTACCATGTATCATGACTACTTAGTTGATTATCTGGTGATTAGCATACATTTCATAAAACACACATGTGGCATAAAATATTATTCCTATTTCCATTTTCATGTAGAACATAGCCATAATACATGATATAAAAAAGAATTTCTTGAAGAAAATCATTTGTTTTCATTATTTTGAAAAATACTAAAGTTAAGAGGAAAACCACTTACGTTTGTTGCTATTGAGGGTATTCAAAACCTATCTTATTGGCTTTACTATTTGGTCTACGTGTGTTTCCTATAATGGAATAATGTATATGATCAATAACATACCTTAAACATGAATACATGAATGTACATGCTATATGGAATCTTATTTAATCTCTCAAGACTTATTTCTACTACTAGGGTTAACCTAATCTCCTTTTCTCCCTGACTTTCCCCGTTCTTTACCTCATGAAAAAGCCATCAAACAGCCTCTTTATTAGGCCCTAAGCCGGACAAAAGTAATGGAAAAATCCAGCTAGACACTTTCTCCTGAACATAAGTGCATAACTTGTTCAAAACTTAGTAAAAACAAGCCAAAACATCACCCTTTTAGATTTGGCTCACTTCCCCTTGGCTTCCCTTAGAATTTCAGAACTCTCCCTTTCCCCAAAACCTCTGATTTCAAGCCTCAAGTGGCAAAATTTCACATCCAAAATAATAGCCAAGCCTAACTATACAAAAAGCATACAAAACGTTAACCTAGAATCATGTTTTGTTTTAAAACCTTAAACCGACTTTTTTTTTTTGCGAAATAAACTCCCAAAACTACCATCAAATTGCTATAATGAAAGCATAGACATGGCTAAAACAAAACTTACCAATTCTGCGCCAAATCCAAGCCTTGCCTTCTGTTTTCTTATTTTCTTTCTTTCTCTTTGCTTTTTCCTTTCCTCCCTTGTTGCATGACCAAAGCTGGCTGTTTGAAGCTATTTATAAACCCCCTAGGTTGGCCAAAGTGGTTTCCACAAACTAGGGCAGTTCCAAGGGGTAAAAAGACCAAAATACCCTTCCTCAAATTCCTTTATTCCACTTTGCCCATCTTTATCCTTTTTTTTTTGCTTAATTCCTAAGCAAAGCTAGTTTATTTGGGTCTCACATGGGACCCTTAGATCATCCTAGAAAGTCAGCCAAAGCTTGGTTGGTGTGGGTTTCGTAAGGGTGAAATGACCATCTTGCCTTTGTCTCGATCTTCGTGCATTTCTTATCCCTATATAGACAACTCATCACCACATCACCTTGCCCATGTGAAGGCTTCTTATTGGCCTCCTTGGGCAGCCTACTAAAGCAGCTAAGAAGGGTAGGTTAGTTAGGGCTTGTAAAATGACCATCTTGCCTTTGTCTCGATATTTGTGTAGCCTTATATCTATCTTGACAACTCATCGCTACATTACCTTGGCCACGTAGAGACTTTCTATTGACATCCTTGGGCAGCCTACTAGGGCAGCTAAGAACGACAGGTCACCTAGGGCTTATAAAATGACCATTTTGCCCTTAACCTTTTCCAAATTAAGGAGCAATAAGGTTTCTATGGTTGGGATGTTACACCATTACTCGTGGTTGGTGATTGTTGATGGTTAGAGGTGGCTGTCGATGGTGGTTTGACAACTAGTAGTGGTTGGCGGTTTTGCACCGGGGTTGTCAACGGCGGTAGGAGTGAGTATATTTTAATAATTTGGGCTGTGAGTAGTAAGGATAGTATTGTTTAAAGGAATTGGATAAAATTATCTTACTTCCCCTAAATAAACTTATGTAGATTCGACTAGACAACTATTCATATATAGATTTTATTAAGAACTTTTAGTCAATTTATCAAATTCAAATAAAGGCAGACAACCGCTTTTGTCCTCCCTATTGAGGGCTTTTATTTTGGATGAGACTAGTAAAAATTATTCAGTTGAAAATGTTTATACGCGCTGAATTTAGTTAGACACATGAAAAGTTATGTACAGTGGAGAAGCCTCCAATATGACCATCAAGGGTTAGAAAATTTTGAGAGTGGAATCTTACTTCAGTGTAACTATGCATAAATGGCAACTTTTTAGAAGAGGTAATTTATATTTATGCTTTTCAGAGATGGTCTTTAATAATTTGACACTTATTTTCAGGATTTGCAATTTTTTTAAAACATTAAATTTTCGTGTGCATTTGTCTTCACACTCGCGACTTCCCTTCTCTCTAATCAGAACAAACCTTTCGATGTTCTCTTTACTTGAAATCAAATGAAAATAATATTCTTAAATTTTTGAATTATAAATAAAAAGTAACTAGTACACATAAATATTTTCAAACATAAATTAAAATTTTATTTTTAATAAAAAATAAAAATATAATAAAAATGAAAAATGCCTACGATAGATTAGGCCAAGACTCGGCCTTCATAAATAAAAGAAAATTTGCATTTCAATCTTGATCCAATAGTCCAGTGACATATTATGCTTGCTACATTAATCAGGAAAGAAGGACAAAATGGTGCGAGGGTACACCTGTCAAATCATGCGCAAGTAGCATCAAGGTATCGCGCCCTCGGTAGGGTGTCAAAATGGACGGACTTGGATAGGCCGACCAATGGGTCGGGTCGAGCTATAGAAAGATGAGTTTGAATTTTTTTTAAGTTGGCTTGGCCTAGCTCGAAAATAGATTGGATTAAAATGGGGTTATTCGGCTGGTTTGAGTAAATTTAATAAATATGATATTATTTATTTTTTTAAATTTTTGATATTTAAATTTGATAAATTAAATTAATAATATATTTTTAATATTATTTTAATAAATTAATATATTTTTATTTTAATAAAAATTAAATTTGATAAATTCCTAACTGGTCCACCCAACACGAAAATCCTTTTGACCCGGATGGGCCAACGGCCGGCCCAAATTAACGGCTCCAGCCAGGGTGATTACGATTCAATTTTTTTCATAAAATTATATTTTATTAATCATTTCAGTTTATTTAGTATTAAAACAAAAATTATACTTTTTAATACTAGTAATATTATTCCAATACTGTTCGATTTCAATACGATTCAATATAATTTTTATAATTTTTTTAATTATATTAAAGTATTTTAATAAACTAAAAAGTATGGTTTAAAACGATTTTTAAAATTTTATTAATTATATTAAAATATTTAAATAAACTAAATTTTTTTTACAAAATCACAAAAAAAGTTTCTTATAGTATATAACTAAGATGAAAAAAATTAAATTATTTAAAGATTATAAAATGTAATAACTTTATATTTTTTATCTCATAACATATTAGAAACAAATTAAAGATAGTACAAAAAAAATTGAAAAAATTAATTTTATTATCAAATTTAACATAAAACTTTTAATCAATTTAATTAAAAACTTACAATTATTAGAGGTTTAATTAATTTATGTATAATATAAATGCTTTAGTTAATTATTTTAATCCAATTATTTAGAAGTTCAATAATTTTATATATAATATAAATAAATTAATAAATTATTATATATAATATATTGGTATAGTATACTTTAAAGTTTAATTTTATTTTTTAAAATATATATTTAATTTTTTACACTTTTTTGTGTTGATAGTTAAAACATAAGATTCAATAATTTCTATTTTAAAAGTTGAAGTTCAATTTTTAAGTATTTGTATTTATTTCGTAATGGTAATTTTTTTAACTTCAAGTTATTGGTAAAAAAAGGTTTAATGCTTAATTTAAATTTCTTTACATGTAACTTTGATTCATGTATTTCTTTTTTAGAATTACTTTTGAGATTTGTTGAGTAAAACTTTTTATATGTTTATAATGAAAAAGTGTATTTAAGAAATTTTTTTTCTAGTTAGAGTTTCTCATGTGTTAGGTAATTATGAAATTTAAATTATGTGACAAATTAATAGGTGATTCACTATATTATAAGTAAATTTCATAAAAAAATGAATGACCTTAATCTTTAATAGATTTATAAAAATTAAAAAACTAATTATAAAATTATAAGATATATATTAAAATCTTTTTATATTTTAATTCTTAATATTTATATTTTATTTTTATAAAAATATTTTACTTTTTATTTTATTTAATTTACTACTGAATTATAACTATTATTTAAGAATTTAATTATTTTATATATGATATAAATAATTTAATAAATTATTATACATAATATTCAATTCCATATAATTTTTTATCAATTTTAAATTCATAAAATTATAATTATATCAAAATATTGAAAATAATATTATTTAATATCAAAATTTATAAATTTAAAAAATATTTAATTTTAAATTCAATATATTTTAATACAATTTAATTTAATTTGGTTTTGGAATGTGCGAACCCGTGACCGCGAACACCCCATGCTCTAGCGCTTGGCGGTATGTCAGGCCCAAGCTAGCTGAGCCGTCAACACACTCTTCTGGCCGAGCAAAGGGCTCTTCACTGGCAAGGACGATCCCTGCATGTCTCCTCTCTTGCAACAAGGACGAAATTAGGGTTTCTGAAATAGCAATGGCTGGGCGATTGAGATCAAGCATCCCTCTCTTCCAGGGATTTTGAGATCCGATTCTCGGGCCACCTCCAAGATATCGACCGTCCAACAGTCTCTGCTTTGGCCGGGCATTTCAAATCCGGGGTAGACTCTCACCCTTCAAGTATAAAATTGTTGCTTTCATTTGGTTTTTTGATTATTTTATGTAAATGGTTCTCTGATAGAAGTTAATGACGGGTCTCTTGTTTGATTTGATGAGGCTAATGTAGATTTGATTGTAATGGGTTCTTAATGGTCAAGTGGGAAGTAGATTTGAATTTTTTTTTAGCGATGTTTGATTTGGATATCTCTTTTTTACTATGTGGTTATTTCGATTCTTTTTAATAACGGGTAACTTGTTTTGCAGTTCTTGCGGAACTATGCTACTGCATCTCCACCGAAGGAGGAGCAGAAAGTTAAGGTAGCTTGTCCATTGAAGCTTTATTGCATTTCTATGGATCATTGTACCAAAAGAATTATGTTTATACTTTATACGCACATTCATTTTCTGTTGTGGTACCCTTTTGAGGAGATGATGGTACATACACTGCTACTAATCTTGGTGGGAATTGCTTGTAAAATCATATGTTTATATATTGCCCAAACCAGATTTATACATCCACATGGACTATATACTTTTGGATTTCTTTGAAGATTGCAGAAGAGAATGGCTGCAAACGTGTAACTGCAATGGCAGGGACAAGGGTGTCTTTTAGTATGTGTGGCAATTCTTGTTTCTTAATCATGTTTACATCATAATACGTGACAAAGTGGTATTCTTATTAAAGTATCTTAGAGATGAGCTGAATCATCTGTGCCAAGCTCTTTACAAATATGCTTCTAATTTTTCTCAGAATGCCTTTTCAATTTGCCATTCAGAATGACATAACATTGCTTGAATCAATTTAACATCTATCCCTATTTTACTCACTGAATGTTGAAGGTTTCTATTATAGTTAGTTAGCCAAAACTCAGGTTTTCTCCATTGAATCAAATAGGCAACTTGAGCTTAATAAGGGAATTCTGAGGAGATCTGAAGGAAAATGGATGTTTTAATTTATAATAAAGTGAGTCTTATCAATGTATGGCTCCATAAAGGCCATAGCACATAGTTCTTACTAAATTCTTTAAATAGTTGCAGACATTTGATATCCTTGTTGTAGATGCAATCATACATATATAACAAAGTTGGTCCGAGCAATGCATGTCTCCGTAAAGGGCATCTCCCATAGTCATTACTAATTTTCTGAATGGTTTGGAAAATTTATAATAATAGTGATCTAGATGCTAGAAATTGGTTTTGTATTTTTTATTTTTTTTTGGGTCTTACATTTGGGATGGTGGCCAACTTTTCCTGCCCCAGTTTCTTGAAAAGCCTCTTTTCTGTTGCAGGTTCTTTTAGCTTGTAGTTTTATCAATCCTTTGGTTTCCAAGGTTGATTAATGATTTCAATTCTTTTTATTTCCGAGGTCGATTATTGACCAATTCTTTCTTAGATTTATACATGTGGTGCTCTGTGTTTACTTTTTGTTGTTCCTTCTCTATATTATTCAGGTGCCTATGACTTTGTTTGGTGTATCCGGGAACTATGCTTCTGCTTTATACATTTCAGCAATAAAAGCTAATGCATTGGATAAGGTTGAAGCTGAGCTTCTGGATCTTGTTGAAGCTTCAAAGAGAAGTGCTCAATTTTCTGCATTCATGAAAGATTTGTCAGTGGGGGCAGAAACAAGAGTAAATGCTATAAAGGAAATCTGTGCTGAAGCTAAATTTTCAGCTATTGTAAAGAACTTTTTTGGTATGCGTTACTTGGTTTCACATTTCAAATAACTTTTTTTGGCATGACGTTACTTGGATTCAAATTTCATGTAAGAAAGTCAAAATATTGATACTCAGCATATGAATAAGTTCCATTAATTTGAACAATGAGGAGATTTACTAGGGAGATTCCTTATGTTCTTTTGCACCAAACCATAGTTATTAATAGTGCGCTATAGCATGCTATGCATTAGGACGGCAGTGCTCGCTATATTTCATCCATAGCGTAACGAGCAATGCTTAGTGAGCTGTTGCGAGCACTATATGTGCTATGCATGTATCATGTATGTGCGATAAATGCGCTATATGCACTATGAGGATTTAGGCCATAACTGAAAGCCATCGAGCTTAGTTGGAACCTTTGTCTACCTCGTAAGCTTCTTCCCTTCTCTCTGTTAGTCTCACAAGCCCTAGCTTCTCTCCATTGAGCCTCACAAGTCATTGCAAGCCCTAGCTTCTCTCCATCGAGTCTTGCTTCCTGTCCTCGCAGCCTGGTGAGCCCTAGCTGAGCTTCTCGAGCTTGCTTCTCATCCTGTAGAGTTTGAGTGGAGCCTGCTTCTCATCCTCTTGAGCCTGCTTCCTCTTTCTTGCAAGCCATTGAGCCTCACTGTTCTCTCTTCAGACTTCTTCTTGCCTCGCTGTTCTCTCTTCGCAAGCCATCGAGCATCAAAACTTTGATATCAGTTTGTTATTTTTTATCTACTTTTTCTCAGTTTAATAACTTGTTCTCTGCTTTTGTTTTTTTTTTTTTTGGGGGGGGGGGAGTGGTTACTCCAGTGTTTCATGACCTGTGCTCTGCTTTTTTTTTTGTCCAGTAATTACTCCTTTCTTCTGTTGACTTGTTCTCTGTTATGCTTCTTACTTGCTCATTGTTTTGTACTGGTTTGTTTCCTCTGTTTCACTCCTCCCCTATCCTCTCTGTTCTGCTTTCAGCTTTCTATTTGGTTACAAAGCTCTTCCTTTCCACTTGAGGCTTCTAAAATGAGCACTAGCAAGAGTGGTGGTAATCATATTTTTATTTTCCAGACTTTGTTTGATCATATTTTTATGTTTTAGACTTTGTTTGATGTTTCATTTCATGTTTACGATGGTTGGATGGTTTGTATTTTGAGTATTAGTTAAGCTTTTAATGTTCATTGAGACTATTTTTCATATATATCATTGCTATATTTTTTTATTATATAATGTGTGCTATTTTACCAAATAGCCGTGTGCAGCACTATTCTCAATACACTATGTTGCTATGGACCCTTTGCGCAACTGTGCGCTATGCACTATTAATAACTTTGCACCAAACAATATGAAGGATGCATTTAAACTTGCATCATAGTCCTGCCTCCCCATGTGTATAGTTGAACCATTACTAAAATCTGCAGAGAGCAATTGGTTTAACCTAGGACCATTTATGATCTTCAATATATTTTTTTTTTGGCTTATTTATCATGTAAAATAATTGCATATTATATTTACTTTGTTTGTTACTTGCTGCCCCTTCGACTCCATATTGCCCAGTTATTTAAGTAACTCACAAGTCTGAATTCATGTATTGACTAGCTTTGGAATGGGGTCAATTTCTGTTTGACTTCTATATCCATGATTTTAACAATCATCTTCCCTTGTTTGTTACTAGTACTTTTGGCTGAGAATGGGAGGCTAAGACACCTTGACAGCATAGCAAAGAGATTCACTGAATTGACCATGGCTCACAGGGGAGAGGTGAAAGCAACTGTCACTACAGTTATTGTAAGTTACCTCTCTTTTTAATATTAAATGATAAATGATTGAATTGGACTATCACATATAACTTTTTTTAACAATGGGATGGGGATATGAGTGAACCATACATGTTATAGTAATGCCATTTTTCTTTTGCATCATGTCTTGGCCATAATTGCTTGGATGGGTGAATAGTCTAGACTTCATAGCTTGGTGCCTATTTGTGCTTGTTATTCTTTTTATGCCAACCCTTGAAAAACAATGAGAATTCATATTGATTCTATATTATAATTGTCTCAAACCCTTGGTTGGCTAGATGTTGAAATTGGTTATGGTCTGGCGTGTTATTTCCCAAAAAAAAAAAAAGAAATAAAAAAGAAAAAGAAAGAAAGAATAAACTTACTTGATAAAAGTTGAGAAATCTAAGTTCACTGTTTCTTTTCCTTTAAACATAAATACATGTAGATATATATATATATATATATATTTTTTAACTTGAGTACTGAACCTTGTTGCCTGTGAGTTCATGAAGATAATGCTTATGTATCATGTTGAGTTTTGCTTGTGGCCAATTTTTGTCCGTGATGCTTGTGGTTTCTTGTTTTTATTTTTGTTTTTTTACTTGGAATGACTTGAAACTGATAATTCACTTCTATTGACTTGGCACATGATGCCATGTTGCACTTATTTTGTATACACTTTTCTTCACTGCTATCACTTGAATGAGATTCCGGTTAATTATCCGATATGGTTCTGGTGATTTGTTGTACATTAGCAATTCAGTACTTGGTGCTATGCAATGAACTGGTTTTGAATCTTATAACCTCCTGATAGATTTTGTCAAGATAAAACTGACTGTTCATGTGATATATGGTTCAGAAATTGGATTTCCTAATAAAGATATTTCTGTGTTGTTAACTGCCGGGGGGATCTTTTTATATTTAAGACACGGGCTTCAGGCATGAATTATTTTCTTCATGGGAAAAACCCCTCATTTGGCTATATTAGGCCACTCTCAATTGTGGGTTTTACTTGCGGCAATAATTATGTTGTTGGTTTTGGCATCTAGCTTGATGTCATATTGATTTTGCCCCTCAAGGTCCACTGGAATGTTTATTCCGCTTATTAATTTTCATCAAGGTCAATTGGAGTGTTTAGAAATGTGACTGCTTTAGTGTGATGGTTGGGATTGATTGGCAAATCTGACGCATGTAATCTTTGTGGATTTGCCAGCCTCTTCCCCCTGAAGAGGAGAAAGATCTAAAAGAAACGCTACAGGATGTCATTGGACAAGGGAAGAAAGTCCATCTTGAACAGAAGGTGGTGTTACATGTAATTCTAAATATTATGTGAGATGCTGGTTGTTCCTTTATGAAGTCTAATTTTATGGGTGTCTTTTGCTAGTTTGATCCTAGCATCCTTGGTGGACTAGTGGTGCAATTTGGGCAGAAGGTTTTTGATATGTCCATAAAGACTAGAGCAAAGCAGATGGAGCGATTCCTGCGGGAGCCTATCAATTTCGATATCTGAAAGGCGTTGCCTCCTTGAAGCACTCATTTCCTAGTTACTTTGTCTCACATTGCAGAAAGAATTGCTTTCGTGGCCATGGGTGGCATATACCCCGGCCGCATCATATGATGGGAGTCATCTTCCTTGAGAATAAAAGCTACTTGTTCAGCTTCAACTTTTTTGCTTGAGTTCTATGTGTACTTCTTACTGTAATAATTTGATGGCATTTTTGAAACTAATTTTGTTGGCACAGAAGTTGTTCTTGACCGCCTCCCATGTCTCCTGTGTGCGTGTTACATATCCATATGATAAAAGGGGAGGTAATAGGTATACGTTTTAATGAATGCTCTCTCTCTTTCTCTCTCACACACACATTCGGGAAGAACAGAATTGCGATGAAGACGATGGAAAGCATTGTTGTATGCGTATTACTGGATTTACAGCTGGACTGGAGTATTAGCGTTAAGATATTGGAGGTCAGATTGGATGCAATCATGCAAAGGATATTCTGCATGGGTTAGAAAAGAAGCTGAAGTTGATGAAAAGCATTAACAATTTACAGCTGTAAGCACCGAAATGAGAAATTTAAAGGGTCAGAGTAAATGTTGCCAATACGGAATTTGAAAAGTCAGAATTGATGGCAACATGGCAGGGCACTGAGTTAATCCGCGGGGGGCTTTTTTTGGCTTTTTGACTTTGGACAGTGTTTCGGCTTTTTGACTTTGTTTTTAGCTGTACAGGTCGGGTTGGGGTTGGAGGGCAGGGGAACTGAGTCAAAAGTGGAACTCTTGCTTTCATCATTTTTTAACTCTTGTAGTCTTGGACACGGCTAGATTCTCATTTGTGATTTGTTCATGTTTCATTTGTGATTAGTACATGTTAAAAATATCTTTTCTGATCGCTTGACTAAGTTAAATTATTAAAATATCTTTAAATAGATTTGGTTTTTGACAACGTTGTATGACGGTTGGGTAAAAATGATGAGATCTCTGTTTTTACTATTAACCCATAGTAATAATTTAATATAAGAAAATGAACTATCGACCATGTTAAGATGTTAAAATATCTTTAAATAGTTTTGGTTTTTGACTATTATTCTATGACGGTTGGATAAAAATTATGAGAACTACTATTAAACCCAATAGTAATAATTTAATATAAGAAAATGAACTATTTTACCAAACACCTTACCTTTTGTTGTTATTTGCAAGTTGGTATGTAAACAATTTAAGTTTAAATATGAAATAAGAAATTATTAATGATGTCAATCAAAATCATATGCAAACTAAAATTAGAGTTCTAAGGTATTTATAAATATTTTTGTAAATTATTTTGTGCATACTAATTAATATTAATATTAGGTACTTCATATCTAAAATTAATAACATACTATGGTGTCTGTAAATATTAAATGTTTTAAATATTTCATAAAAATTGAATAAATAAAACTTGAAGTAAACAATTAGTTTAAACAAAGAGTTAAAATATACAAGGTTCGTATTCCCTTTTCAAATCTCCACAATTCTTAATTTTTCAAAAAAATAAATTAGAAATCAAAATGCAGCAGCCACTACATATCCCTTGAATTAAAGGGATCAAACTCAAATAATTGATGTGCAGCAAAGAATAACTACCAATAGAATGGACCCATTCCGTTTAATATCTTGGAACATTGCTAGCTTTGAACTCATCCATAGCAGTAGCCAATATCATATATGATGAGATCCCTCATAACTTCTTTGGTGCTCAAGAACACTTGATTCTTCAATCAAAAAAAAGAAAAAAGATGGGTAAAAATAAAAATAAAAATAAAAATTGAGTGAATATGTCACTTCTTTTCTTGCTATATTTTGATCTCATTTCTTTAGGCACATGCATGAACCTTATTACCTATGATAGCTAGGATCCATCTATTGACCCAAAAGGTGAAAGTAGATGAACATTTGGGGTAGCTTTTTGTTCTTTTTCTTTTCCTTTTTTCTCCCTCATAAGACATTGACCTATACAATTCTATCTTTAGAGAATTTTCTCAGGTACTCTCACTTTTCCAAGGTAATAATAAGTGCATATAATGATCATCATGTATTTGTCCCTCCAATATTTGATGGTATATAGTCTCTAGGGCTATCAAAAAAGGGTTGAGAGCTCTTGACCAGAGAGGGGGGGGGGGGGGGGGGAGAAGGAATGAGAGCTACACGGGTTTTCTTGTCTTCATAACAAAGTACCATGTTGCTTGGCATTGGCTCGTAAGCATAAGAAAAAATACAAGTTTTCTGGACAGCTGTATGCTCACGAGAGAGAGAGAGAGAGAGAGAGAGAGAGTGAGTTTTAAAACATTTGAGTAGCTTGGGAGTTTTCTCCTTTAGTTTTTGTCCCCAGAAAAACTGTGCTGTCCCAATCACCATGCTGAGGATGAAGATTTGAGCATCTATCTAAAATTGCCTTTAGATTTTTCCCAATTGACTACACAGGAAGTGAAACTGGTGTTGGCCCACACGAGGGATAATGAAGGGACAAGCTTACAGATTTTTCCATGAAATATGGGGTTATATTCTTGACTATCTTATATTCATCTCATTAAACTAGTATTTAATATTAAAAAATTAACAAAAATTTTAATTTTTAAGTTGGTTTTTTGATCTTTTACCCTCAATTATTTGTTTATACATTTAATATTTTAATTTTTTAAAAAATTTAAAAGTTAGAATATTAAACTTTTTATTCTATAAATTAGATGTTTAGAAATAATAATATTCTGTTTTGTTAACTTTTTAGACAGAAAATCAAAAGTATAATCTTAAAAAGTTTGGGGACCAAACAAGCTTTTAATTATGTCTGTTTGCAATATGAATCCGCAAGAAAAGAAAAGAGAAGTCAGAAAAATGATGCCAAGATGGGTTGAATCTCTGTGCCGGTACATTGCACCCTTTAGATTTGAGATCTAGGGTTCTTATTATTACTTATTCTTCAGGAGATTACAGGCCATGTGCCTAAATTAAGTAAAACGTGAGTGTTCTGAATTGCCGCTTTTGACAGTCGGAAAGGGGGGTTTCTAGCTCTCTTCTCCTTCATCAGTAACCGGAGTACCTAAGTTAACAAAGCCTCTTTCAAATTTACTCTTCAGTCATAAACGGGGTTCAATTTTTGGACTTTCTTCCCACTTCTACTTGGAATAATAACTACAAGTCTCCCTTCCTATAATATATGCATGTTACCTAACACTCAGAGAAATTATAATAGAATCCAAATATCACATATGCATATCAGATTTGTGATAAGGCAATAAAATGAAAACCCAGAAGATCGAACATAAAATTAAGAATATGTTTGGGACATTAATTACACTATTCTTGATCATGGGTGTGTTTATTTATTTATTTTTAGGACTGGATTTTGAAAATTTTATGCTTGATTCAGTGGGAAAATTATTTGGGGTTTGTGATCGATGAAAGTAGAAGGTTTGAGGTAAGACCATTAAAATTTCTTTTTATAATCAGTTTTAGTTTAAATACAGAATGGAATCTGTGTCATTGTGTCACTGCCTATTAATGTTAATGAAAACATGGAATGATCTAAATTTATAAGCTATTTTATGGATTTTCATTTTATTAATTTGTGTTATTGCATTTCCTTCATCACTTCAAAATCTGAAAATCCTAATTTAGTTAACAGGACAACGGATTGACGGTGAAGTTTATAAGCAGAAATTTACACAAGTTTACTATAAACTAAAATGCTGCATCTTAAAGCTTTCAACTGAAATGGGTTAATTGCTTGGAACTTAATATCTGAACTACCCGGTTACAAAGAATGATCAAGAATTTGAACCCTTCATCTATAAGTTGAATCCTTGTAATATTCTCATGATGATGGAGTAGATAGAGTTCCAACTTTTTCTCCCATTTGATCATTTCATGTAATCTCCTAGCGTTGGTACTTGATATATCCTGCTAGTTCAATGTGATTTTTTTTTTGAATCAAGGATTTCAAGAATTTAATTGAAAAAGATAAAACCCACAATTTATTTTGATAAATGTAAACAAATTATGTAATATGTGCATATGATATCATAAAAATATAATCAATTAATTCATATTTTCATAATTTTTTAAATATTTAATATGAAAACAAAAACAAATTAGCATCCAGAAAGAGGGTTGGTGTCCGGGCGGCAAGGCCATTACATGCAGATACGATCACGGTCAAAATTAATGAGCACAAGTCTAGATTTTTGAATGATTTTGAGAAGAGGTTTTGTTTAATATATAAATTACGTGTGTGTGTGGCTCTCTCACTATATATTTTGTATATGTATATGTCGGCAGGTGATTTGCTTGAGAAGAGAGTTAAATGATAGAGGGAGAGACATGCTTAGAATTCTATTCTCGTTTGCCTCATGCAGCTAACTGTTTGTCCTCTTAAAATCATAAGGGCAACTAATTCTCTCCACGTTTACCAAATTCTTCATTTAGGGAAAGAGGATATAGAGTATCCACAGTGCTTTTCTACTCTGTCTCTTTCAATATGTCTGTAGAATGCATGTTTTGATTACACGTGTGAATGTACACGTATAAGATGGGGGAGGTAGGGATTATGTGAAGTGGAAGCAAAATATGATCCATTTCTCGTACACATATGATGATTACCTTGTGAGCGAAGAAAAATGCATCGCATAAAAAGACAAGGATGGAGTCAAGGACAAGAAGACCAACCAAACCCACGTCTGTCTGTCTCTTTCTCTCTCCTCTCGTCTCTCTAGACGAGGAGGAGGAGGAGGTCCCCCTCCAATCCGTTTTCCACTCCACCCATCAACCTACTAGACCCCCTCTCTCTCTCTCTCGCTCTCTCTCTAACCAAGCAACCCCACAACCGTCACCATCATCATCACCGTTACCACTTCATGAAGCCTCCTTTCTCTCTCTCTCTCTCTCCCCCCCCCCCCCCCCCACTCTCTCTGTGTATAATATTGTAGTCCTCATCACCTATATAGCTACCTGTTCTCCCATCAAGCGAACTAGAGA